TGTTGGGTCCCTTAGAAATCACTGGTCCAGTGATTGAGGCTAGCTCTTTCTAAGGGACCCAACAGAATAGGTGTTTTCCCTCATCTTAGAATGGAAACAGATTCAGTTTCTGAAACGTCGTGTTTTTTCTTAGTTATCTTAAAAACCAGGACGATGGATAAAGTCCGAAAACCCAATATCTCTGAGTGTTCTCACTTTTCAGTTATTTAAAAATTTCTACATCACGCAAAATATGAAAGAAGGGGTTTTTTAACTAGTGGTATATTATTTGCAATACTGTTCCTCATTCATAGTTTTAATGCTACATATGACTGAAAATCATTTCAACAGCAGTCTCCATATCTAGTTCAATATAAGATGGTTATACTATGATTCCTGAATATTCTCAAATTCAATATCTGTGCTTGATCTCCCACCAACACACTTCATGAATCTCAGCTTACAACCCATACGAGTACATGCTACACCACAGGCTACCTGAGTCCATGCCTTGCTGTTACACTGTCAAGACCTCAAGAAGTGTAGCATCTATTAATATTTTTTTTTTGCACAAATTCCTCCCAGATGAAAAATAAACTATGTTAATAGTGTAAATGGAAGAGTAAAAGATAAATAAGAGAAAGCCTCATGAAAGGAATAAAGTTTTGGTAACTGTATGGAGGATGCCAGGGATGAGTCATTTCAGTACATAAAGTGCTGGGCTGCACTATTTGTAGCAATAGTGGTCTTCTTGAATGTAACACCATGTAGTCTGGTAGATGGTTACCAATGTTTCGAAGGTAGCTGGTCTGGAAGACAAAAGTAATAGGTTTCTCCAAAATGTCTGTATCCATTTACCAGACTGCATGGTGTTACATCCTGGAAGATCAATATATTAATACTCACCACTGAAAGCTTAAACTCTTATGTAATGAAACAGACTGATCAGATAGCTGGAAAAGTATGATGCAGAGGTAATGTGATGTAGGAATGTTGACAGACATACCATAAAAACAAGGCTGCCAACCAGTCAAATTGCTATTTCCAAAGTAAAGCAATGACTTTTAAAAGCCATTTAGCTGAACTGATGTTTCCATAGTTTCATAGTTCAATGCATATAGATGTGAAGTACATAGCCCAAAGTTAGCTTCAGAAGAAACATAAGAGCCATTATTGTGAATGCAACATGACTATATATGAAGAAAATGACGCTTGTCTTGCCTGACCGCAATTTTTTCCAGAAACAATTTTACAAGTTTGTGAATATTTTTTTGCATACAGTCCTTCTTGAGAAGCTAAGAGTCATACAGATGGTCAGTACTTTCCCCCCTCTTACAGAATCTGAAGGTTCATTACCATGTTTATAAGAATCTATTACCAGTTCCTGCCCTGAAATAGATTCAGCCTCTAACATCATGGACTATTTCTTCAAGATCCATTTTAATACCACCCTTCAACTATAATTTTGTCTATGACTATGGCTCTCCCTTTAGGCTTCCTGACTAAAATTTAATGTGCATGTCTTTCATGTGTGCTGCATACCCAGTCCATCTTACTTTCCCTGATCCATTCACCCTAATACTACATGCAAGAGATTACAAATTATGAATTTTCTTACTAGGAAATTTTATCCACTCTTCTGTTACTTTCTCCATCTTACATTTAAAATACCAATGTACAAGTTCATGTAAGTTCATTTATATCATGTGACAGTGTTTATTTGTGCATAACTTCCTTTGGGTATTTTTAAATCAATACAGCAGTTAGCAGTAATTTTTGCATAAGCCCTATTTAGTGACACCTTTGCTTAATGTAAAAAAAATCTCCTTAAGATCCTTTAAACAGAGATTTCATTGTAGCTCAAATGGATATACTTACTTTTTATACTTTATTTAATGATGCTGCCAGTATCTCAGGCTACAGAGCATCAAATGAAAAGATGATTAATGAATAATGGCTTATTAAGGATGTGGAAGGAAAAGAGAATGACATAATTTGAGGCGCCATGATGGAATTTGTTTGAAGGGACTGTAGAAAATCGTGAAAAATCTCAGCCAGTACTGACATTCTCCAAGTCAAGATTTGAAGCTGAGGCCTCCCAAATATGAAAGAGAAGTGCTACCATTCACTCATGATCAGTACCTCTGATGCAGAAAGCAGCAAATGCACAAAGAATTATAAGGAGGAAACCTTATGGAAGATTAATATGACAATGGAAAGGTAAAATCAATATAATTGTAACAAAGAGACTGTTGGGAAATATATACAAAATATGTCAACCACAAGATATATCATAATGTTATATTTTAGCGTCCTGTTGCACTGATTTTCATCCATTATATGTATACAGTGGCTGTCCTGTAGTGCACACAATTTCACCTGTCAACACTCAGAGCTCAGAAGGGAACACACATCACAAGACGCGGTTTACATAGAAAATAAGAAAAACGACCCCGTAGTGAATGAACCACATACAAGTTTTAATTAAGACAAATAAGATGAATTATCTTAACAAGTTTTAGCGAGTGTAAATTTATCATAGTTGACAAATACAGACTTTTTAAATGGTTTGCGAAAACATATGAGGGCAAGCAATGCAATAGATTGACGTAGTTGGGACACCTGATGATGGCACTGTGTTGCCAAAACATGTTGTGAAGTGACAGGTGAAATTGTTTGCACTACAGGACGGCCACTGTATACATATAATAGATATATCATCACCAACACTGTATCAGTAGGGAAGTATAATAAATTTTAAATTTATTCAAAGTCTGTAAACTTGTTCAAGATGATAAAACCTTAATGAATGGCAAAAAATCCTGAAAAGCATACAAATTAGAGATACAATTACAATTTTTACACTGTCAGCAACTGTCCAATTTCTTACACACTTCTTATTTACTTTCATTATCAACAGTTTCTATACATAAAGCACAGACTCGATGAATATCTTATATTGAGCTCAGATCTGTCAGTCCATACCATACTTTGCTTTGATGAAACAGCCACTGGATAACAGAAAAATTATGCTGCTATTCCCAGTTAGTGGAATATTTATTTAACATCCCAAAACTTCACACAATCCCTTATCTGGTACTGAAATTTATATGGTGCAATTTCAAATTAGTTCAGCACTACTACTTTCCTTCCACTTTGAGTAAAATTTTCTTCTGTTTAATGTTCAAATGCTTTGTTCATAAGGTATTTCAAAACCTCTTACAAAAGGATGCTTAACACTTTGCATGTTTTGGCAATTTATGCATATATCTATCATCTCATTACTTTTCATTCAACTTAACTGCAGACTTAGTGCTTCAGATTTAAAGGAAACACAGCAACTTCCTCTCCCATTAACCGAATAACAGTGTGGTTATCAAGGAATTGGGATGCTATGAAAGAAGATATGGTAGACAGTGTGTGAGCTTTCTTTCTAAACCATTTACCACACATATAAAAACTTTGTAAGTAATTTAATGAAATATTTTATGAAATGACAGCTGAATCTTTTATATTTAGTATGTGCTAATTAGAAAGCGAAGTATAAAACTGTACCGAAATATTTAAATTTGAACCAGAGGCAATTTGGCAATTAAAATTCAAGGTTTGTCAATATATTCTATTACAACCAAATCTACAGTTAATTCTTGTTACATGCAGTGATAAGGCATGACACTTAACATGCTTTACTGTTTTAAGAAATAGGATATATAATAATATTCTTATCCTTTATACAAACAAAATTTTAAACTCAAGTGCAATATTAAATCTCTATACTTACATTGTTCTTTCTTCTTTGAAATTCCAAATCTTCATTTAATTTACTAATCTCAGTCTTGTATGTATTGATTTCAGAATTAAGCTTCTCTACAAGAGAATCTTTCTGCTTCAATTCATCACTCAACTTCTCCAACAACAGATCTTTCTGCTCCACTCTGTAAAAATCATACTTCATTTAAATATATGTACAGAGACACGAATTAAGACAAAAAAAATACTGTTCTGAATACTTTATTTCATGGTCCATTAGAAGTAAACAAAATTAATAGAAAAGCCACTTATTTTTTTACACATGTTGACATTCTGGGGGCAGGGGGAGACTAGTACTCTGAACCTCATAACTCGTGTGGAATTCTGTTGATACATTTCATGTTCCTTACTACTCCCGCACACAGTTGTCTGTTCAAAAAGTTTTGGGACTTTTGAAATAGTGCACCAACTTGACGTCTTAACAATGTCAGGTAAGTTGTGCTGCTTAGTGGCGTGCTTTCTAATTATCATCCTTTCTGTCATGTCATCCTCCTTTGGTTAGTCATCACCCTACAGTTATTTGCTGATACGTGTTTGTAGAGTGTGTCTTGCAATTTTCGAGATGGCTGATATTCATGTGCATCATATTAACATTGAATTTTGTTTCAAACTAGGGAAAACGCTCATGGAGACTTATGAAATGATGAAAAACGTTTATGGTGATCAGTGCATGAATTGTACACATATTTATGAATGGCTTAGGAGGACAGTCAGCAGTCAATACATGATGAGCTGTTCTTGGGATGGCCCACAACTTCCAACATAGGATCAAAGAGACAGTTGCAGTGCCACCTGTAAGGAGCTTTTGGATTGCACTAGCGAGGATGAACATTTTCTGAAAAGAATTATAACTGGTCATGATACATGGGTTTATGGATACAATGTGGAAATGAAAATGCAGTCTTCACAATGGGTTGGAAAAAATTCACCAAGACCAAAAAAGGAGCACTGGGTCGGGTAGACTGTGAAAGTCATACTGACAGTTTTTTTAACATTGAGGGTGTTGTGCAACATGAATTGTTATGTCAGGAGCAAACAGTGAATCGTTGGTATTATCTCAAAGTGCTGAAATGTCCAAGAGAAAATGATCTCAGTTGTGGAGGAACAACTCCTGGTCCCTCCAACATGACAATGTGCCAGCTCATGCATTGCTATCGATCCATGACTTTTTGGCCAACATGAACACAACTGTGCTTCCTCAGCCACCCTACTCACCTGTCCTCGCTCCAGCAGACTTTTTCTTATTTCTCAAACTGAAATCCCCTTTGAAAGGATGATGATTTCAGACAATTAAAAAAATTACAGAAAATTCATAGGCGGAGCTATGTGCTATAGTTTTTTATAACAAATTTAATATCAAATTACAATAAGAGATTACAGTGTTGAGCCGTGCTAAGCTTTAGCTTGCTCACGATGATGTCATCATCTTTCCTGTGACGGATTCCATCCCCACTATGCGGTATCCTGACATCAGTCACGTGGTCCCAGGTACCCTCTTGTGAAGGGGAGACTTGTGCAGTGCGGTCTTTTAGACCAAGTCGACTTGGAAGGTTGTTTACTAGCCAGCAGGTTTGTGGCGGAAAATATTGGTTTCGGCTGGGGCTGCTCTAAATTCCCTCTGGTGTTATCTGCTGGCCGGTAAGGACTGCCTGCGGTCGCAAGCCGTTGCATGAACGCTTGCGACGCGCGTATTAAATTTTGGTTTGGGGTTTTATTTTGTCTCAGAATTTAGACTTGCATTTGTATGGCCTGATATTTCTAGCATCGACACAAGGGGTGCCGACGCGAAATTGGTTGTCTGTTTTTTTTTGGGTCAAAGTGTCTTTTTTGTTATTTATGTACTGTATATTTTGTTATTAAAATTGTATTTGTTTTATCTTAGCCACTGAACTGAGTGTAGCTTCCTCCTCCTTGCTTGGATACCCCATCTCCATCTAGGGGAGCGTGGGAACTGACAATAGAGCCAGTAACGATTGCGCGGTGCCCTTCCTCTTCGTGATAATAATATAACTAGTAGAAAAGAGGAGAGGAAGACGAAGGGCGCGGTGCAGTGTATTTAGGTTCAAACGCATGCCACATTTCCAACATGAAACACTGATTCAAACACTGGACAGCATTTCCATAGCTCATGTAGAGAGGCACTGGTACCTCCTTAGTAAATCACCTATCATGTGCAAGAATATATTACCCAATCAGAGTGACCAACTAGACATAGTCATTTCAATGGAGCTGTTTATGGGGGGGGGAGATAAATAAATAAAAAACAAACAGAAACAAAATTACTTACAAAGAAGATAAATGTTATCATTTTGGGAGACATGAGTAGACATGCAGCATGTCTGAATCCAAGACACAGAGAGGTACATTATGACGGAGTTTTACTCTATTCATTCTAAATTCTGGGGAAATGATTACCATATTACTCACATGCTAGCTTGCTGTGACATATCATCCTCAGCAGCTGCTCGCTTTTCTTCAGGGTACTGAACGTCTCCATTTTCTCGACCCTCAGCTGCTGGCCTTTCAGTCATCGCTGTGACTTGTGCTGCAAGTGACTCATTCTCCTCTCGCAGCTGCTGGGCCTCCTCTTCAAGCTGCGAAAACGAAGACATTTGGGATAGCAGATGCTCATTCTCTTCTTGCAAGTGCTGGACCTCTAGATGCAGATCTTTCATTGTGGAAACCTGAGCTAACAGATGTTCATTCTCTGATATCAAACGGCTGACTTCAATCTTTGCTTCATTGTAGCTGGCACATTTTTCTTTCAGAGTTTCCACTTCTTTAAGTAAACTCGCAGATTCATATTGTACTTCTGCTTCACGTTGCCTGGCACTAGCAATATGATGTTCTAATTCAGCATCTTTTCGACACAGCTCCTCCTAGAATGAAAAAGATTAATATTAGAATGCACAGGCATCAAGTCTGTATCATATGAAATGGGACCCCCACTTATGCTCCTTGATTCAACATTCTGCTTCATTTAATGTTCAACTTCTGTGATCCCAAATCAATAATTCAATGTTAAATTTCAAACATTTAAGATTCTCCACAGTTTTGTGTTCAAATCCACTGCTTCCCAAAGAAACCTTAAATGGAGTTTTCACCATATATATATATATAGACAGAAACAGTTAAATATTACATGGCCACTCATACTGTTTTAAAACATATAAAGTACATTTTTTTTTTATTGCTAGTGGGGTGGGACTAAGTCCCTTGTACTGCGGCCACTTCTGGCCTATTGTACCAGCCTCAGATGATAGGCGAGGGTGATCGTGGAGCATTTGGTGGAATGAAGATTGGCAGGGGAAACCGAAGTACTCAGAGAAAGCCTGCACCAGCGCCACTCTGTCCATCACAAATTCAACTTGACCAGACCTGGGATCGAACCCAGGCTGCCGCGGTGGGAAGCCAGCAACTAACCGCTTGAGCTATGGCGTGGCATATAAATTCACTCCATACTTTCAAAGTTCTGATCCAGGTTGGTGTTTTGTAACTATGGGTCATAAACACAGTCCATGCGCTGCAAAGATTTTGAACTCAGTTGTGTATCTATGCATTTAAGAAGAGTTTAAAAATCCGGCCGTAACAGATATATATAATTCAGCCTAGTTTTGTCATCTCTTAGGCCTGTGATGACACTCTTTGTTATTAACCTACTTCCCAAAAGGCGACTTATGCAATCTCCTTCTTGTGTCTGTGTGTTGCCCCCCCCCAACACTGTTAGATAACAGGGTATCCCCTTTGATGAGAGGTGGGATCGGCCTTTCAGTGTAGGTGCTCTGAGCACAGCAGCAGACCTCCTCCTCCTTTCTCTCAGCCAGACACTGACTACTGTCCATGTTGAATGTCTACATATTACAGCGGATCAGACTAAGGAGAGAACATTAAATGTAACACCCAAAAGACAGATAAGCCAGATATTGCTAGCCAACAGCAGTAAACATATTACTACCATGATAAATGATACAAACTCCGTCCTAAGTGCAAACAATATATATTATATGTCCTTGATCTTGTTCTTTCTACACTACATGTTTCGGCCTCTATCGACCATCATCAGGTGTATACTCTTAACGTTGCTGCCACACTGAACCCAGTCTAAAATTTAACATTTAAAAACACAATGTCACATTCTTCGTATTATCAACATCTACATCGTTGATATGTGTCTGGTATGTAGATTATGTTGCACACGTCAAATTTGATATTCTTGTAGTAGCACTCTAAAAATCTTTAGTTATGATGTTTAAAACCTTTTAAAATTTTCTCTAAATTTAAAATTAAAATTTAAAATTCTTAGGGTTACTCGCCCTATGTCTAAGTGCTGGAGCGGCTAGTTCTTGTTTTCACACTGTACAGGTGTTATTTAATGTAGTCTTCTTGTGTGGGTGCCGCTGCTTGTCTGTACTACGTGTCTACGTGTTTTTAAATGTTAAATTTTAGACTGGGTTCAGTGTGGCAGCAACGTTAAGAGTATACACCTGATGATGGCCGATAGAGGCCGAAACATGTAGTGTAGAAAGAACAAGATCAAGGACATATAATATATATTGTTTGCACTTAGGACGGAGTTTGTATCATTTATCGTGTAGAGTGCAACAGGATGCTTAAATATAATATTATATTACTACCATTCTTATAGACAGTGGCTTTTGTATTATTGTGTATGCGTAGGCAAGCCCAAATGTTTTTAATCCTACTGTCCTTATTAAAAAACAGAAGTAAGCTTATGAGATCACTTCGCTGTGTGTCTGTGTATCCTCCCCAATCATTGCTAGGCAACGGCTTGGTAAACATGTCCCCACACTAACTAAATGTTTTTAATCCTACTGTCCTTATTAAAAAACAGAAGTAAGCTTATGAGATCACTTCGCTGTGTGTCTGTGTATCCTCCCCAATCATTGCTAGGCAACGGCTTGGTAAACATGTCCCCACACTAACTAAATGTTTTTAATCCTACTGTCCTTATTAAAAAACAGAAGTAAGCTTATGAGATCACTTCGCTGTGTGTCTGTGTATCCTCCCCAATCATTGCTAGGCAACGGCTTGGTAAACATGTCCCCACACTAACGAATACATACACGTTCATGATGGGTATCTGTACCAACCGTCTTGCAGTGCACACAATTTCACCTTTCTCTTCACTACATGTTTTGGCTCTGATGTGTCATCTTCAGGTGTGGTTTTATTTATGTCAAGCCATTGCATATTAGTGCCGAAACATGTAGTGAAGAGAAAGGTGAAATTGTGTGCACTGTAAGACGGTTGGTACAAATACACATCATGAACATGAATCAGTGCAACAGGACGCTAAAATATAACACAATACATACATAACAATAGAAGAATTGTTGGATGCATCATTCTATGTTCATTGTGTGTCATATCAAAGGAATGTGTGCGATTAGTCCTCCCAAGAACTTTTTGTTAAATTTCTGTAGCCCTAATATATTTCAAGTTTCTCTGTATTATGTAAATACTAAGATTTTATAGAATAATCTTTAGTCTGCAAGCAAACTATACCAAACCGAGCAACTGCCGCTTGTTGGTGAAGTTAGTGCCAACTTTAGCAGATAGAGGGTGTCGCACGGTCAGTGCAACAAATCCCCATGGCAGTTAATTTCAGTTTATAGACTGGAGCTGCTATTTCCTTGAAACAGCTTCTCAATTATCCTCAGGAGGCTGAGTGGACCCCGTTTAAGACCCACCACTTCTCAGAAAATCTGGTGGTGCCAGGAATCAAACCCAGACCTCTGGATCTGTAGCCAGGAACTCTGACCACTAGACCAGAGAGGAGGTCTTTTATATAAATACTTTATTTATCACTCTTGCTATTTGTTACTAGTTTCTAATATATTGTAAATCTACTAAATTTTCTGTCAATAAGGAAAACATGACACAATATGAGGAATAATGTGAACATAATTTATGCATACACATTAACATACAGCTGTAAAATAACATACAAGCTGCACAAGATTCTGAACTTTATTTCATGTACCAACAAGTGGAGAGATCTGAGAAGCATCATTCACGTCATACAAGTGTAACAGCATTTGCCATGACATAATTTGGAAATTCTTATTAATGAAGCAAATAAGTATGTTATTAATTGGCAGAGTGCAATTGAAAATCAGTGCAGATCACATTACCAAGGGCTTAACACAACTAACACAGCTGGCAGGGGGCTCAAGGCTATGATGTCAACACTGCATTGAACTGTTTCATAGTTATCACACAGATACATATTTGCATTCATCTTTGCTGGCTGCCTTTCTATGTGAAAAGCAACCTGACAGTATAATGTGCGTAATTTTGTTATCACTCTGTATTATCTTATGTGAGAACTCTCAGCACATGCTGTACTGTATAGTAGCATCAAGGAGTTTGTAACAACAGGGATATCTGTGATATTTGTGACACAACACTGACATGATTTCAGACATTGAAAAAAGTAGCAACAAGACTCTTATAAACCTATTATAATATGACATGAAATTGAATCCTCCTTAATCTCAGAAATTTAAGATATGAAATATGACTTCATGACATTACCATGCATATACAAAGTGTTTTGCAGCTTTAAACAATATAAGGAAGCATTCTGTGTGTTAAATGTACATTATTTATTGACCTTAATTAACCTTATCAGTTTCTGTTTTCCTAATTTAAGCGTAGTCTTGTGTAACACACAATGAAAGACAGTAACTACAAACTGTGCAAACATTTTCCCCAATTTATTCTTTTAAAAAATGGAATTATGAAGGATGATAAATTAAGAAAGTGACATTTCACGTCATATGAAACTCACAAAATTAAGAAAGTTTCTATGTAGCATTACTTACTTCATTCTGCCTTACAAATTCTTGGGCTCGATCAGAAGACTCTTTTAAATGAGCGGCTTGAGATTCAAGATGTCGAATCTGATTCTCAAGGTGAGAGATCTGTTCTCTGAGGACCTTGTTCTCTCCTTCTCGTCCCATCTGCCCTTCTCTCAGTTTCTGCAGATCAGCTCTTAGTGATGCACTGATATTTTCCTGCTCTTGTAGCTTCCCATGAAGTTGACCAATCTGCGAGTTGAAAGCTGCTTCAGCCTGAAATTCAAAATATATTTAAATATTTGGAATATTAACTGACAAGTTATAAAGGAAAATACCTTTACAGTTATTATTATTATTATTAGAGGGGGTGGGTTTCCCCATGCACCACGACTAATAGTCTATTGTACATCCCCCTTTGATATTCTACCAGTCACCATGCCCTTCCGGTACTGGTGCTCGCTATCAGCCCCATCCTGCCAGCGAGGTTGGCCACCTCTCTGGCAGTGGTCCCCGATACTTCCTCATCTACTGGAGGAATTGGAAACTACTTGGGTGGGAAACTTCGCCTAATTTTGCTCAGAGGTCTCCTAGAGACATGAGGATCTTTTACATGCTGTAAATCTATGGCACGGGACACACGTCTTGAAGTTCCTCCTGGAGGACTTGTTCCCTGAATTTTTCTGCCCTTAAAAATTCCATGACCTCCGATGGGTTTGAACCTGCATACCTTGAGTCATGAGGTGGGAACGTTACCCCTAGACTACGGAGGCCGCTTTACCTTTACAGGTACTTAAAAAACCATGATACAACATGCATATGATCATCACACTTTACATAACTGTTCTCCCAGCCACCACTAGCAGTGCTGCCCATCATCCCTCCTTCATGCTAGTGTCTTTACAGTTGTAGCGATCTGTGATTACAGTGGAGGCTAGTTGGATTTGTGATCATTTTACAGTACATCCAAAATATTTCACCTATCAATTCACTACATCACCTAAGAAGACTGTCATATGAGAAATAAAGCATGAATGTGTTGCTTTGACTTTGAAACAGAAAATTAAAATATGTAAAAGACTAGAAAAGGGTAAAAACTGGATTTCTGTAAGCTCTTCTCATGGAACTGAAAGTCACACAACCTGAATATCGCATTCCCCAAACATGACAGATAAGGGGGAGTTTACTGTATACAGGTTTAGGTACAACATACCCACAGAGGGAAGGGTAGGTCCTTGTGCATCATGTGGGCCAATAGGGACAGCAGGCATTTTTATTCACTGTATCATTTACTAAACAGATTCTGTCTTTACCTCCTGATGTGTCTCATTGAGATGAGCAATATGAAGTTCCAGCTGCTGTCGCTGGTTGTGCAACTCCTGCTCCAGCACTCCCTGAGCCTGACCCTCTTCCTCCTGCAGTTTTCTGAGCAGCAGGTGATCCTCACTCATCTGAGCTTGCAGCTATAATGAATACCACGGCATCATAAACATCCATATTAAAGAAAATTTTGTGACAGCGATCACTTCAAAGAGGCTAGAACAAACCAATTATCATATACTGTTCACAGGTGAAGCACATGCACTAACTTATCAGTGCAATATGTTCCATAACCAAGTTATAAACGAGCAGTTTTGTTAAAATACAACACATCATGTAACTGTATAAGGGTAAAAGTGCCCTGTGCTTAGTAAACATGTCTGCCATGTTGACACAGCATACCATTATGTTCCACATGACCCACTAGGAAGCGCACAATAGAAACCGATTCTGATAAGACTCGGTGAGTGCTGTAGTGAGAAGCTCAATCTGTTATTTAGTGAGAGCAACATAATTACTCCTAGTTACGATTTATAGGTCAATAAATCCAATTACCAATACAAACCTCATGTCTAGTCACTAACATGCGACAATGTCTAAAGCTTACTGTTGTATGCTATACTGTTAGAAAACTTATACAGTGGAACCTCGCTTAACGAGCATAATTCGTTCCAGAATCTTACTCATAATGCGAAACGCTCGTTAAGTGAAACAATTTTTCCCGCATAAATTAATGTAAAATACGATAATGTGTTCCATGCCGAAAAAAATACTCAAAAAATTTTATGTATAACGTTTATTCAAAGAAAATTATATATACATTGTTAGGGAGCGTGAATTATCTTCATCTTTTCTTCTATGCGGAATGAACCAACCTAGAATGGGAATTTGATTTGCGGGGGACACACACACACACACACACACACACATAAAAATCGTCATCATCATCAACAAATCGAAATAATTACTTTATTATTTATGATACATATCCACCTGGATCTGTCTAATCCAGTTAAACAGGAACACAATGTATTTACAAACAAAACAAACTCTGTGGCCTGTAGCCCGCAAGCGAACTATACTGATTGAGTGACTGACGCTTGTTGGTGAAGTTGGTGCCAACATGTATTATAAGGAAAAAATAATTTTCAATGTAAAACAGAGAAGAGACTTGCATGGAAACTGAGAACATGGGCAGACTGTCTCACCTGCTGATACTGTTGCGTGAGGGCTTGTTTCTCAGCCACATGAGACTCAAGAGCATGCTGAAGCCTTGCAGCTAACGACTGAATTTCATTCTGTTTTGTCACCAGTGATTCCTCAAGCTGTCGGCAACTGTGCGTGAGACGCGAGCGTTCCGAGTTCAGTTCACTGCGCAATTCCTTCAGTTTGCTCTGCAGAGATTGTCCTGCTTCCTGCTCTTCCTGCAGAGCTTTCTCCTTTTCTGCCAGCTGTTTTTTCAATTTCACTACTGGATCTTGACGACCCTGACACACAAAATTAATCACTGAACACAGGAGAACGGTTACTATAACTACTGTAAACTCCTGTCCAATGCAGATTTTCCTGTATATATGCAAACACAAATGTGAACAATTATTTCCCACATGCTGTCTGCCTTGGCCATGGACCTGAAACACTGTAATTCAGGCACCCTAATGTCAAGGTAATATTTTTATCTCCAATACCACACTTGTCCTGGACGCTACAAACCAGTTAGTTATCAAGACATTTAAACCTCATTACACTTGAAATGTCTATGGGTATGCAATCTATGACATAGCCTTTGATGCTTTTGATAACTTAAAGTTGTATACATAGGAACATTCATCTATGCATTTATAAAAAATCTATGTATCTAAGACAAAATGGGAGATTTTATGTGGCCAGATTCATGTAGTCCCATTTAAAACATATGGTACTGATTATGTCTAACACAGATTTACCTATACACCATTCTCGAGAAACATACCTCCCCTACTGGGTGGGCTTTAATTGTATTTATGTGGTATGTTTATCAAATAAAATGTAAAAGGTAAAACTGTCCCTGTACTTAACTAATTAAGCACTAAGCCATGAAGGAGTATTGGGGAGTGGTTGTATAGATCCACATTTTCTTGACCTCAGCACTAGATGGAGGTGCATGGTCAGCTTCATGCCCCGGTCACTTTACCCTCGGAGAAACACCTCCTGGTACCCACTGGATAGGAAGTTGGTTGGACCCCAGAGCCAGTCTGGACAATGTGGAGAAGATAAACATTCTTGATCCTACTGGGACTCAAACTCCGACCCCTTGGTTGTCCAGCCCATAGCCAGTCGCTATACCAACTACGCTATCCTGGCTCCCTCTGTTTATTAAATACTAACTGTCCTCAGGTTTACATTGCCTCAGCATTAAACTAGATTTTAATTTCATATAGGAGGAAGTATGCATATAGATTAAAGCAGTTAATATCAATTTGTAATGTTGTGGTTAGTTCAACATCAATGCACAGAGGTGAAGCAATCAGTTAATTGATCTGTGAGGCAAACTACTATGTAATCTAATTTTAATACACAATTAAATACCGAAGACATTATACACACAACACAAAGCAAATGTCATCATGATTGTTGTACCTGGGGAATGCACACATCATGTTTCAAGATCTCTGACACGACTAAACACATAACTGAAACATGTAATAATAGTCCAAAATATCAGAGACAATGAAATAAACACTGTACATCTCTACACTGGCTACAATAATAATGTAAAGAAATTAAGGTCTCTAATTAATCCACAGTGGATAATGTTCATCTCATACTTTGACATCGGTTTCTTAATTACCTTGTAAAGTAAGTACAGCAAATTGTGACATGTACTTACAAGATCTGGACCAGTATAAGTAAAAGTAAAGGTATCCCTGTAACAGGCCGTGAAGGCCCATAGGGTTGTGAGACGTTGAGGGTCCCATATTATCTAGACAATCAGCTTAAAGATGGTGGTAAGGTTGTCACCCTTACGCGCCCGCCATGCTTTACTCCCCAGGAAAAATATTTAATTAATTCATGGTACTCAATTCTGTTGGAGGCGGAGTTGACCCCAGGGCTGGAAGGATTAGGTCAACTGATTAAAATCCAGTGACCTCATTGGGACTTGAACCCACGACCTTCCGGCTTGTAGCACTGTGCCTCAACCAACTATGCTACCGCGTGCCCTGGACCAGTATAAAGATTTTGGATTATCACATTACTGTTAAAGTCTTTCTATAGTAAGTATTTTGAATAGTAATAAAACAGAAGAGCCACTTATTTCTCTACTCCAGTTCCATATTTTAAGAAAACTGGATACTTGGAATCAGAAATAATAATAAAATGAAACGGACATATTTCTAAATCCTTCATCTGTCATTATCTGATATACATATAAAACATAGCTGGTGGCTATACTTATTTAGTTGTAAATGTATTTTATACATACAGAGATACCTACACATGTAAAATACTTGATACATGTATCAAGTTGAAAGTACAATCCATCATCTTTTCTGACTAACAAAGAAAACTTCAAAAATATGCTTTGCAGGATATCAATCATAGTTGTCAGTTGACAAGTACACAACGTATACTCGTATAAGACAAATACAAATTTCTAACCTCAATCCATTCTGAATTGTCCACAGCAGAACCCTGTTGTTTATTGAGTAGAAGATCAATCAAAATTTGGATCTCTGACCAAGATAGTTCAGCTTTACCAACCAAAGGCATCAGAAGACTAACATTTACGCCCTCACGATCTCCACCTGCAATATACAAATGTCAAATTATTACTGTCAGTAAGCATGTTACACAAAACTAAATAAGACCGAAGTGTCCATCCAGTCCTCTATTACACTCCATACCTTGGAGACTAATGAGTGTGTGTAAGTGCAAATATGAAAGTTGGTGTTTGGAAGGAAGGCTAGGATGAATTGTTGCTTTTACTGTAACATGTATGGATTCGAGTCCAAGATAGTTTCTTTTCCTATTCCTTCGCTCATAAGAACAGAACTGGAACCATGATTACAATGAGTGTTTTTCCATAGTAACCATGGTAATGATATGTGTTTTGAAAGTTACAAAAATGACGTGCGACTCCAAGAGCCTGAGGATGTTAAATGTACGTAACCTTAATGAGCAACAAAACTTGTTTCTAAAACTGAAGTGCAGATCTTTCTGCATGGGCATGCTAGCTACTTTCATAAACTGATGCAGTGAATCAGTACAGCATTTTTGAAGCCAGGTACACCTCACTATACTTTGTCCATAATGACTGCGGACAGAAGATCTTGGTAGGTAACGACAATAACCCTGGCCTTCTATTGGATGACAAGTGGATGTGCAACAAGGTGACAAGAAGTCAGGAAATCAGTAGGTAATAAAGTACCCATATAGTGATAAAGTTTATGTAAATGTCTAGTATCATGAGGACAATGACTGATGCTCAGTTCTGATGCATATCATTCAGAATTTCACATCTCCTTTGCTCATGGTGCTTCACGAGTGTATGTGTGTGTGCGTCTAATGATAAGGTCACAGATGAATGATGAATTAACTTGTGTGGGTTCTAGAAGGAAGTGGTACTGGCCTAATTAGGGTACTATCCTGGAATTTGCCTTGAGGGACTGCGGGAAAACCATGAAGAACTTAGGACAGTCAGCGTCCTGGCAAACATTCAAACCGGGCAGCTCTTGGATAGACGAATTTATGAAGACTGTGCTTTAAGTACTGTCAGTACATAGCACACAAATATTCCTCTGTGTGTACCCCATACTTACTTACTTACTTACTCACTCATGAAGCTGAGGTCGGTTTTATGGAACCCAAAGTTTAATTACTGTATTCACAAGAGCCATATCCTGAGCCAGATCAATCCAATCCATCCCATCCCATCCTAGTGTGTACCCCACACCATATGAAAACACGATGTAACGTTCAAGTAGCAGGGAACATGATCAGAGAATGAGGAAGCTGCCAAAAGCAGGCAATGTTTGAGGGCCACTGTGAAAAGTATATGTACCACGTATATTTTATACAGGATCATTCTGTGATAGCATTGTGTTCATTTTTTAATTGTGAAATATAAACAAATTATTGCACATGATTTCGGATAAGACACAGGTTACAGCATGGATGACCAACAAGCAGTTTCTACGATAGTATTGTTGAGTCTCCAACACTGCATTATCACGTTCAGAATGTCTTAAATGATCTTCCTCAGTTTCTTCTAGCAACTACAAGGATAATATCTTAGTATAGGATCCTCCTATGTCTTTACCTACAGGATCTCACGGCGCGCTATGAAATGTCGTCAGTTAATAAACGGCCTTAAAATAACCGAGTAATAAATTACCATTCATTATCTACAATAACTTGTCACGCTTCGAGTTTAGTAATTCTGTTCTAAGCTGTTTCAACGTGCAGGTCAACATCTTGCCGGAATAGCAAAGGGCACAAACTTTGGTTACTAAGGGGCATATTTCTGTAGCAACTAGGCCCCCCCGGATTACATCTCCAGCGAGAGGGTATGGAAAGAAAAATATGGTATGAAATGCCGATAATGACGAGCGTTTTCGTAAACGAAGCAGATTAAATGTAACTACAGCAAAGAAATATATATCTGAACGCGAACAACACTTTGCGTTATTTGTCACGTGTTTGGGATGAACCGGTTGTGAAGGTCGGCGCAGCCACCGCGATGTGGGGTAAAGGACGGCGAAAGGGCAACGGGCAACGAACCAACTGATGCGGTGATGAGATGAACGCCATGTGATCCACATCACATCATTCTCGCGCCAACCCAACAGCTGTTTTAATCTAAATGCTATCCTAGTACGAAAATTACTGCAAGAAGAAACATGATCACATCTACAGATTATTTTGGGGGTGGGGGGAATTCCCAGTCTCTAATTCTGTTGAGCTTGGTTATTCTTGAGAAGTTAACAGCCGCTTAGCGAAATTTATGGAAACCGGAGGTACACTGTCGTGTTCACAACAGCCACAACATTTATATTCAACTACAAAAAAAAAAAAACCTCCGTGGCCTGTAGCCCGCAAGCGACCTATACCGACCGAGCGACCGCCGCTTGTCGGCGAAGTTAGTGCCAACTTTTGTGGATAGAGGGTGTCACGTGGTCAGCGCAACGAATCCCCACCCATGGCCGTTAATTTCGGTTTTCTGTCACTGTTAAATACTTGAGCGTTCGAAAAGAAAAGTTGCATAAATACAATTATTTATTATCTTTGCCATGTCTGGAGTCTGTCCGTCGAACCGTCTATCCGCACAAAACAACCCGATAACCGGTGACTGGTATTTTCACAAAATTTGTAACAGTAAACTTAAAAAAAAAGTAAAGGTATCCCTGTAACAGGCCGTGGAGGCCCATAGTGTTGTGAGATGTTGAGGCTCCCACATTTTCTAGACAATCGGCTCAAAGATGTCGGCAAGGTTGTCAGCCCTACGAGCCGGCCGCCCTTTACCCCCAAGAACATTCCTGGTACTCATTTCTGTTAGAGGCTGAGTCGACCCCAGGGCCATAGTACGGCTGGAAGGACTAGGTAAATTGAAAAAATCCAATTACCTCATCGGGATTTGATCCCGCGACCTTCCGGCTTGTAGCACAGTGCCCCTTCACAAAATTTGTACCATTTTCAATTCTGGAGAGAACCGGTGAAAATAACGGGAACTCTGCACGACGACCTAAATACATCTCTGGCAGCATTTCGAGTGTAACTCGTTGAATACTTATCGGAGAAAAAAATATTTAGGCCAGAAGTTGTGGAGAAACATAGAATATTTTTCTCATGTCTTGCGCTTTTCGAGATAACTGAATAAAACTGAACGAACTCGCCAAAATCCTCATGCTATGCGTACATTTCCCAACGTGTAATTGTACTGTGTCATGGCAGCTCAGTCAGTAAAGTGACACTACGGACTACAAGACTGGCGTCTGATTTCCCACAGGAAGACGGAGTTCTGTTTGTCAGTGTATGCAGATAAGCATAGCGTGCCAGGGGCAATTTCCTAGGAGGTAATGCGGCCGGAGCATGGACCTGACCACTCAACTACATCCAGCAGTAAGGCTACAAGTGCACAGAGCTTCTTTGCAGATGGTATAGTGGTGGACTGGACGGCCACGGTTCGATTACCGGAAGGGGTAAGAGATTTTTCTCTTCTCCATACCGTCCATACAGATGCTGAGACCCACCCAGCCTCCTATCCAATGGGTGTCACGAGCTCCTTTCCCGGGGACGAAGCGGCCAGGACGTGACGCTTACCACCCACCTCCATCTAGAACCGAGGTCAAGAATGATGGAGCTATCTCCACTAAATCATGCGTCAATTTTAGTAGCCCACTTCCATTACGTTCTGTTGATAGGCGCCATATTAGTGACCATGGCAGGGTTTATTTTCTATTTACACGATTAACAATAAACCCCAAGAAGTTAAAAGTCCAATTTTCTGTAACACTGCTCGGACCTCATTTGACATTTTCCCCTCATTTCGAAGGATTGCTTCAGATATGTCTGCAGTTATTTCTGTGAAGTTTTACACGGGATTGAACCCTGCTACATGCAACCTTTGCTCTTTTAATATATGAGGCTATTAGCTTTCCACTTACACGAGGATGCAGTAACACGTGGCTATTAAAATATTATAAAATAAGCGAAGCAACAGTGCAAGTTACACAGCCTATCACTAAATTCTATGATACTAACAATCACATAGAATATAATTAGTAGTAATTAATATCGTGGAAAAAGGGTACATTAAGGAAGAAATAGCACGTATTTATGACTAAGACAAAAATACAGTTCTCTGCTACGACTATGTCAACTAATTTAATATACCAATTTGAGACGGTAGCCGAGCGGTCTAAGGCATGCACTGTCTTCGCTCGCTCGGAAGCCGGGATCGTGGGTTCGAATCCCACTCAGGGCATGGATGTTTGCGTGCGTTTTTCTGTGTTTGTCTGTAGGTAGAGGCCTTGCGACGAGCTGATCACTCGCCCAAGGAGTCCTACCGAATGTGTAAGATCGAGAACGGAGTTCATGGAGGTAGGCCTAGGCCGACTGGGGCTGTACTGCCAAGGATTTTTTTTGAGACGGTACACCCTCCGCCAGTGCCCAATCGTGCTATGACTTTTCAGACAGAAACTATGCTAAGTGCCCCGTTGGATTGTACCCTCATCGTGATAACGCGCTTTCCACACTTTTAACGAAGCGACTTTCGGCCAAAGAAATTAATACTAACGTTAGAAGTATGTGTGAGACTTTGTTAAAAGTAAAGCCACCACTGTTAACAGACCGTGGAGGCCCACACGGTTGAGATGTCCAGGTTGCCACATTTTACAGAAAATCGGCTCACAGACGGCGATGAGGTTAGCCTTACGCGCCGGCCGCCTTTTGCCCCAGGAGATTCCTGGTAATCATTTTTGTTAGAGGCTGAGTCGACCCCAGCGCCATAGTGCGGCTGGAAGGATTAGGTCAATTGGAAAACTCGATCTCATCGACAATCGAACCCGCGACCTACCGGCTTGTAGCATAATGCCTCAACCACTTACGCTACCACGTGCCCCGTGAGACTTGGTTACGTATTATAAACTAAAACTATCCTTCAAAGTGGAATGGAATGTTGTCATCATTTCTGTTTACTCTTACTGGATTATTTGATGTTTCATTCAGAATGACCTGAAGACATTGTATCAACGTGCCCAAGCATGGCTGAGGCGGTGGAACGCGTACACGGTATTAGTATAAAGTA